ACCCCCATGGCCGGCCCCTCCTCTCACAGAAACCAAGGGCAGAGCAGCCATTGCAAGCTTCCCTCAACATCTGTGCACAGTACAACGTGTGTGGAAATAAAAACAGTGCAAGCGAAAAAAAATTTTTTTTAAAAAAAAAACGTACTCCTAAACTAACTTTATAAGATTATTTTAGGATATTTTGAATATCTGATATTTTAATCTTCATTAGTGAAAAGATAAGAAATTTATACTCAACAAACAAGAAACGGCTTCTACTCCTTAAAATTTCACCACATTCTAATATGATAGTCTTTATTAATAGTAGCCCAGGGAAACAACTTTACTCCCAGATTTTGTTCTATAACAATTCCATTGTATGTAGTTCCAAATGAAAGATGGCTCTTTGTACTAGAGTAATGCTAGCAGACATCCAATGCCTTAAGGACAGAGTATATAATGTCAATATACAACCGATACGGGGGGGGGGGGGGAGACACTTTTTGTACTTATGATACTAACATTCACCAGACACTATACAGATGCCTTAATTTATAACCTATATAGCAAATTCTACACATAGGAAGCACTAGTTAAAAAGAAAAACTTCACTTGAATCAGAGAACAGCAGTCAGAAATAATAACTGGTTTATGCTCAAGCTGGAGGAAACTTGACTTGCTAACAGTCCAGAAAAAAGCTGATGAGCTCCTAGCGCTCCATGAGACCCACATAAAGATGTATAAGAGCTAAATTTTAAGAGGTCCTTCGAGAACTGCTGTGGTTAAAAGGGAGGCCACACTTGCCACCACACCCTGCATAAACCACATGTGCAGTGGCACAAGAAAAGCTGACAACATTCTAAAGAGATTCAGTGCAATTGCAAAGTACTCAAGATGATAAATTACCAGGAAATCATTCAAAGCTCTGAGATAATTCACCCAAATAAAAGAATTGGGGGATGACTACTGTTATTGTTTCAAGATCTTGTTATATGTAAGCTATATATAAAACTCTTGCTTATATAAGCCATAGCTATAGATATTTACTAAGGGATAAATTCTAACTGAGTAAAATTTTAGTATACACTTGAGATATAGTTGCATTTTTGAAGCTATCTTTAATAGACATCTAGTTTAATGGAAAGCAGATGAATTCTGACATCTGTTCATGCATTCTAATATAGGTACTTTGGTTGCAATACAAAAAATGCATTTTCAAATAGACATTAATCAGAAAAATAAATTATTTGATAATGCTAATAGTTTCATATCTGGTTATAATTCATTGTGTTATAGTTAAAATTTTATCCAAGAATCATCATGTATTGGTTATACTGATTCACAGAAATATATATGTATATATATATGTGTGTGTGTATATATATATATATATCAAATACATATTCCAAACATATTTTATTACCACATTTTTGTTTTTGTTTTTCAAGATTTCTCTGTGTAACAGCTCTGGCTGTCCTGGAACTCACTCTAGCCTTGACATCACAGAGATCCTCCTGAGTGCTGGGATTAAGGGCTTGTGGTGGCCTGGCTTATTACCACATCTTTAAAAAAATTAAAAATTTTAAAAAACATTTGTTGCTGTAAATTCCAATCATATTGAAATAGGACTGAAGTACTACAAAGGCATCAAATTTAATCAGGTCAGATGCACAACCAAAGTCTACAACAATTATAAATTTCAGAATAGCTCAGTCAGTAAAGTTCTTGCCAAGCAAGCAAGAAAACCTTAGTTTGCTCCTCGAGCAGCCATGTAAAAAGCCAAACATGATGTGTGCTTGTAATTTCAGCAGAGGAAAGTGAAGACAAGAGGATTTCTGGGACTTGTGACCAGTTAACACAGCCAAATTAGCAATCAAGCTTACCTCCAAACAAAGGTGGGCAACACCTGAGGCCATGCCTGAGCACCCACACCTGAAGCCATACCTGACACTCACTCCCCACCTTCTAGAGCACTTTCACACAGTCCAACCACACATAGGCACACGTGCGTACACCCACACAGGAACACTAGAAGTATGTTTTAACTAAAAAAGAATCCTAATTTTCACTTAAAAGCTCAAGTTCACCATAGACAACATTTTCTTAAAGTTAGTGGGTTCATTTGGGGAAAATGCCTGCCAAATATGCGTGACTAAATACCCAGTCTGTCATCTGGCTAATTCCATCAGTAACAATATTAAAGCACACATGGTTGTCCTAAGGACGACCACTGAGCTCTGGTGAATAACAGAAATATTCTATGCACAATTTGTTTTATTCCCTGAAACATAAAAAGATATGTACACAGGGTTAAAAGTTAAATTTTTACAAATTTTCCAGTTTCCTCACATAAACTAGTTCCTTAATTTCAAACTGTGGTTGCAAAGAACAGAAGGATTTAATGACCAGTTACACCCCCTCAATTGTTCAGGTTTTTATCTTTTTGTAAACTGTTAACACAGTGAGAAGGGCAATTAAAGATGGTGTGATTATGAAAATAATTCACTTTGCAAGGAAACCTACAACCATCCTTTAAGGTCTCAATTTAATAGACCCAAAAGCTGGCAGCAGATTCAGTACACAGACGGCTGACCTATAAAATATGTCATGCCCTACATATGATTTGGGAAGACCTTAGAACAACTGACACAAGTTAATTTTTAAAAAAAAAGTTTAAGAAATGACCTTCAGGGGGCTGGAGAGATGGCTCAGTGGTTAAGAGCACTGGCTGCTCTTCCAAAGGTCCTGAGTTCAATTCCCAGCAACCACATGGTGGCTCACAACCATCTGTAATGAGGTCTGGTGCCCTCTTCTGGCCTGCAGACATACACACAGACAGAATATTGTATACATAATAAATAAATAAATATTTAAAAAAAAAAAAAAAAAAAAAAAAAAAAAAGAAATGACCTTCATACTCTTTTTGAAAATTGATAGTTTAGAAACAGGAAAATGTGCTACTGTTATTGCACAGTTCTGTGGATTTTTGCTAATTTCACAAATCAATAGAAATATGGGCTTTCACAAGAGGCTCACCATCTCAATTAAGAATAGTTACCTCACTCTCCAAAATTCCTCATTTCTTTTCAATTTAATTCTTCCTAACCCACATCCAATCCTGCTAATCACTAATAAATTTCTTATTACTATAGTTTTCTGATATCTAGAACATCGATGGAATTACATAGCATATAGCCTTTGAGGCTGACATAAGTTATGCATAAATTTTCTGGATATAATTTCCATTAAATACATTTAACAAATACATTTTACTTAACTCTGTGTGTGTGTGTGTGTGTGTGTGTGTGTGTGCTTCTGCATGTTTGTATGTGTGTGTGTGTGGGTGTGTTTCTGCATGTTTTTATGTGTGTGTGTGTGTGAGTGTGTGGGTATGTTTCTGCATATTTGTACGTGCGTGTGTGTGTGTGTGTGTGTGTGTGTGTGTGTGTGTGTGTGTTTCTGCATGTTTGTATGTGGGTGTGCACATGTGGGTCACAGTCTCAGGTAATGGTCATAGGACAATTTGTAGGTACTGGTTCTCTCCTTCCAACATAAAGGATCTGCAAATCAAATTCAGGTCATCAGGCTTGGTGGCAGGCATCTTTATCCACTGAACCATTTTGCTAGTCCCTGTCTTACATTTTTTTAAGCACATTTTTAATTGTGAGAAAGTCCAGTGTTATAATTCTTAAAAACCATAAATTCAACACTATTATATTAGTGTCACATCTAAAAACTATTAGTCTAATCCGAAGCTACAAAAATCTCCTTCATTTTCTTCCAGGAATTTTATATTTTAGTTAGAAATTCAGTACCACAAGTTTATATCTAAAACTTGGAGTTACATTGGGTATGGCACAGGTACAGATGAAGCATTTGGGAGGAAGAGGCAGGCAGTTCTCTGAGAGTTCGAGGACAGCCTGGTCTACAAAGAGAATTCCAAGACAGCCAGGGCTGTTATACAAAGAAACTCTGTCTCAAAAAAATAAACAAACAAACAATAATCTAATCTAACTATGCTGGGGACAATGAATCCGAAGGAGATGAAAAACATGGGGAGACCAATCACATGACACTGTCTACACTAAGATGACAGCAGTGTCAACAGACAGTCTGAATAACACCAATTAGCCTGAGGTCTAAGAGGAATTTTCCAAACTATCTACTACTTTTCTATTATTTATCCATCTATTATCTTTAGTAGTATAAACAGGAATTTCAGAATGGCATGTATGGATCATGCTCATAGATACAAAGTCGCGTGATTAAAAAATACATCATTAGAAAGGTGGTGCTGGGGTGGAGCTCAGTGTAGAGTTTGTCTAGGAAGGGGTAATGAAGAGACACTTCCATTTATATTGTAAACCACATAATAAACAAAATGCATACTTATTCTACTATTATATATTTGTGCTAGTAGTTTTGAAACATTACAAAAGTTGTTTTGTTATATAATATAAGCCTTTATATCAAACTGCATCTAAACACTGAGGATATTTTTGAATGATAGCTGCAAAAATTTTATTGACTAATGATGGAAAAACATTACTATTATTCATTTGTTGCTATCTATAATTTAGTAAGCAGAAATGCATTGCTTATGGGCACACATACAAAAAGACAGTGATAATAACATTGCATGGTTCTATAAAAACCCAAAATATTTAATTTAGAGAACACTGGTAAGTATCACAAAACTCATGGTTCTATAAAAACCTAAAATATTTAATTTAGAGAGCATGGTAAGTATCATAAAACTTAAATAGAAATGTAACTTAGAAAACAATATATTTATTTCACAATAAAGCTTCCAATTACCGCTCATCAGCATTTCAAAAATAGAAACCTTTCTTTAATTTCTTAGTACTTAAATATAGTATTCAACTTTTTATTTCACTGTGAAAATCTTAAGGTCTGTATATAACTTTCCTAGCAGAACTCAGACCACTATACTGAAAAATTTATTGTATAAAACAATCCCAGTGGCAGACTCATAGCAACATGTTGTAGGAAATCCTTACCAATTTTTCATCAACTGTTATAAGCTGTGTGTCTTGAGTTTGATCCTGTGCCAGCTTCCATGTGGATGTGCTCAACAACCTGCAGTGCAAGACTTGGAGTTAAATAATGATCTTTGCCATGAAGAGAGAGAAGCAGACAGACTTACATAAACATGCTACTTTAACAGTATCTGTCTTCTTAAAAATCAAAATGAAAGGAAAGAAAGAAAGAAAGAGAAGACGGCACAAAAGCCCTTTCTCTCCCCAATTAGTTGTGTCTGCTGAGTTGTTGGCAGACTCTCACTTGACAGTTCACAACAGGCGGCACTTTCCGTCAGTCTGCAGACTCTCACAGAGAGGCCACACCAATGACAAGAGCTGGACTGCTGCTCTCTATGAGGGTACAGTGTTGGTTTGTCAAGACAAGGCAAAAGGATGCAAAATACTATCAACTGTTCTGGAATGCCGATTCCTAAATGACGGCATCAGGGAAGGGGAGTCCGCAGTTATAGGAACAAGCTTCTTCACTCTCAATCTAGAAGCAATTTAAACAGAAAGTATTTGAACGATTACTTTAACTAGTGTTAGTCTAGTCCACTATCTTGTTCACAAAACTGAAAAGAGTCTGAATATTGAAACAGAAATATTAGGTTGGAAGTAGGGCACAAAAGCAATTCCTTTCATGACTTCTTTTTCCTTTGACTTAGGTCTTAAACACTCTAGCTAGCCTTGAACTACTTTACAGTAGATAAAGCCGCCCTTGAGCTTCTGGTACTCTTACTACCATACTACCGTGCCAGTTTCTGTAGTAGTGGGGACTGATCCAGGGTTTCTGCACTTTCCGCAGACATTCTACAGGCTGAGTTACATCTCCAGGCCCAAAATTTAATTTTTTTTATAAGAGAAAACTTTTAAGATGTGTTATATTGCAATGAGATCAAAAGATTCTAACTTTTTCTGGGTTTGGGAGGGTTATTTTTTCCGTGGCTTTTCTGTTTTTGATATGCATTCAGACTATGCAGTCCTGGCTAGTCTTGAACTTGCTATGTTGACCACACTGCCATTAAACTGAGAGATCTCCTCACTTCTGCCTCTAGAGAGGTAGAATTAAAGATGGGCATCACCATGGCTAGCAGGATGCTAATTTTTATTTAAAATAATACATCCATGTATTTAATTTCATAAAAATTGCCTACATAAAGGATATGTAATATATATTTGTCTAGGCTATATGCTAAATAAATAAATATGCAGGAGAAGAAAATGTTCTCTGGTTCCAAATATTTAAGTAGCCAGAGTCAATTATAAACATAACAATAATAATTATACCCATGAAAGAGTGTAGCATAGTGGTAGTGCATCTGCCTTGGAAGCTCAAGGCTCTGATTTGAAATGCAGCATTTCTCCTAACCCTAAGGAATATACCTACAGAATATAATCTTTTAAACCAAATGTACTATAACATAATATTAGATAGCAAGCAAGGAGAATGTATTTACAAGACAGTAAAGACTCAGTTTCCAAAAGGGCAAGACCAATACACTGAATAATTCCCAAGTCTACAAAGATTTAGCAGCAAAAAAATAAAACAAAATAAAAGCAGGAATGAACACATTAGTATTTATCTATTTATAAATGACCAATAAGTAAATGAAAATGTTCAAGATTACTAAGGATTAGGAAAATACAAGTCAAAATACAACAACATGCTACTTCATATCCTTTTGGATAGTTATAAACAAACAGACCATACTCATGGACAAGAACACAGAGAAACTGGGATCTCTGTGGAATCTAAGATGGTACAGGACTGTGCAAAAATAACATGGTGGTATCTTAAAAAAAAATTAAACACTGGGTTATCATTTGATGTGGCCATCCCATTACTGAATATATGTCCCAACAAATGAAAGTGGTATCTTAAAAAGATCTTTATACACCAGTGATCCTAAGAGTGCTACACTGTTAAAAGCAAAAACTAAGACAGCATTGAGAATCAATTAACCACTTACATTTTTGTAATTGGACCAATCATAGTTCCAGATATCTAAAGTATTAATATTATTAATTCTCAGCCCAAAGGATAAGTCTCTGCCAGCTATGTTTGTAATTATTGGCTACCATTATTATTAAAGTATACAACTCACTTACTTTTGAGTGGGTGTAAATTCACAGAGAGAGAGAGAGAGAGAGAGAGAGAGAAGAAGGAAGAAAGAAGGAGAGAGTGCGTATGAGTGATTGAGTGAGTGAGTGAGTCTGTCTGTGTGTGTGTATGTAACTGGGAATTGAGGTCTTATTTCTAACCCTGGCTTTACAATTTCCTAGCTCTCCTGTTTCCAGATGTCACTCTTTATGTTTCTAAAAAGACTGATTGCTCTAACACTTCTAATAATGACAGTCTACGTGATCCCAGTAAGTACAATGCATACACTTCTAATTTGTTTGAAGAATTCTCTATATAATAATAGTCTCTACATACTCATGAAATATTTTCCTTAAACATCTACAGTTACAACTTCAAGTTTTCTTATTCATATCTTAATGGGTGACCACTTGGGTTATTTTGCAAAAAAAAGGCACCTATGTAGAAGCTTCTGTCCAGACAGGATTTCAGCTCATTTGGGAAAATACCCGTGTAAAGAACAGCTAATCTTATGATAATACTACTTTTTAATAAACTTCCATATTTTCCACTGCTTTCTAATGTGGCTGGACCACCTTGCATTTCCACTAAAAATAAGTCAGGCTTTTCCCCCCTATTCTAGTTAGTATTTGACTATGGTTATTGTTTTAGCTATCAGTCATTCTAATAGGTGTACAGTGCTATCTCACTGTCATTAGCACTTTGCTCACAGTCCAGATGGTTTATTTTTAATTTTTTTTTTTACTTATTATTAGTGTGTGTGCATGTATGGTGGTGGTACATGGGCCAAGGCATGCATATGAAAGTCAGAGAATAACTTTGTGGACTATCTCCTACCTGTACTGAGATCACTAGCCTTCATGTGACAAGTGTCTTTTCCACCACCCCCTTCTACATAACCCAGGATGGCTTCAAAATTGCCATCCTCCTGTCTCAGCCTCCTTAGTGGTGGGATTACAGGCCTGTGTCATCAAGCCTTATTGTCTTCCAAATTCTTTGTGAATTGTAGATAATGATCTTTCAAAGATGAGTGTATTGAAAATATTTCTTTCATGCTGTAGTGTCTTTTCATTCTTTTTAGAGTATTACCTCATAGGATACAAATTTCTTATTTTACTTTGTTAGACAAGGTTTCACTGTATAGTTCTTGCTAGCCTGGAGCTCACTATGTAGACTATGCTGGCCTTGAGCTCAAAACCAATGAAGTATAGCTTCCACATTTTTTTTTCTTTGATGGACCATGAGTTTTATGCTTTTCTAATATCACCATGAGTGCACATTTGTGAATCTACTTGACTTCCTTCATCAGTGGTTCATGGTTTTCTTCATTTAGACTTTCTAAATACTGGGGTGCTTGATTGTTTTGACATAGCAACTTGCCCAAGCAGGATCTCAAGTGATCTTCCTGCCTCAAGGTCTCAAGTAGTTGAGAATACAGGCACATGTCCCAACACCCAGCTTATAAATACTGATTTTAATGTTTCAAAGCATACAGAGCATATTTAACATAGAGCAGACAGACTTCCCTGCCAAAATCTGCTTGAATTTCAGATTTGTGAGCAGGAAAAAAAAGCTGAATACAGTTTTATAAACTTTAAAACTAAGCTAGTAATTTCAAGACCAGAACTTATTTGTTTGTCCTGCGTATAAAATTGCTAATCTTATAGGCACCTTTAAAGAATGAATTAAACCTGGCCTTTGATCAGAACCCATTGTGCTTGTTTTCAACATAAAACTTTTCAAATCTTTTAGATGCTCACTTGTACAAAAACAAAATCTGAATAAGAGTAAACTTCTTGACCCAAAGTACAAATAATACCCCACTTTGCAGAAAATTAACCTTGTCAAGTAAAAATAATTTAGTCAACGTCCCCCATCTGTTGTGATAGTTAAAAATGTGGCTCTAAATATCTTTGACACTCCTGTTAACACCAGCAGCATGAGGTCATGTCCCTCCTCAGTGAGTTCTAAGCTACCTGTTGAGGAGAATGAAGCTATGTGTATTACAGGAAAGGGTTGGAGAGATTAGCAGTTTCTTCTTTCTATTTCTTGGGACATTAATTCTTGGGTGTGTCACTCTTGGAACCCAGAGATCATGATATAAAGATCGGTCCATGTAAAGAAGAGGAACTGACGTCTAGTGTCACTTCATCCAAGAACACGATTTCTGTTCAACATTTAGTTAAACAATCAGAGGACACACAGCACAGAGCAGACACACTCTTATCTCCTTTGGTGAGGAATCAGCAGTACTTATCCAAAAATTTCTGCAAATAACTAAATATCACTTTATAAAATTAAAGCTAGGCTAGTAATTTCAAGACAAGAAGTGATCCACGGTGTACAAAATAAAATTCCTAATCTTGCACAAATCTCTAGGAATTAGTCCTTAGACTTTTATTAGAACCCATTGTGTTTGTTTCCAACTTCTTACAAACTAAGTTAACCCAAATTCACATTAAATCAGAAAGTGTTTAGCTCCATGTTAAACCATAGGAAAATATTACTGAGACTCTAATAGAAATGACAAAGTATTAATCTATGTTCTCCATATCACAGTAATTATCTTGGACCTGAAATGTGTTGATATGTTAATTACCCTCAAATAATGATCTTAAATTTTCTCACATAGAAATTTAAATCAACATAGCAATTTTAAATTGCCTTCAGCAAATTTTCTCTAGAAAAAAGCAATAATAAATTATTCATGAGCAAATTAAGGATAATAGGATTAAAGAGTACAGCAAAATGGCTCAATGGGTAAAGATGTTCAATTCCTGGAATCCACATAGTAGACGGAGAAAACCAATTCCTACAAGTTGTCTTCTGGCCTTCATTTGTTCACCTTTTGTGTGTGTCTCAAAATTGTGTGTGTCTCAAAATTATCAAGAGACCATTTTAATATTCTGGGAAAATATACAGAATAGAATAAAAGGAAAAAAATTAAGATCCTGCAA